TCTACTCATCATCTGACTTCTGCCCGTTGACAAACTTTCATCGGTCTTAAGCCCAAGGCCATACTTCTACCCGATGTCGGACTTCTCCTTCTCGTCGGACTTCTCCTCGTTGGCGGACTACTACTCGTCATCAGCTTCTCACTCGAATGCTACTTGCAACGCACCCTCGAACTCTCTCCTTTGGCTCCACACTCGATCGTTGATTGCTAATGGGCTTCAACTCGATCGTCCATCGCCAGCAAACTTGCGCTCAAATGGCATTCAAATTCCGTAACTCCTGCGTGCGAGGAGGGACGCTAATTCGAGCAGGGGAAGTTTCAAACTCAAAAATAGCGAAAGCCTCAGCCGCCAGAGAGCCGTGGGGGAGAAGAAGAAATCCCGCAACTCCTGCGCACAAGGAGGAGCGCTAATTCGAGCAGGAAAAATTTCCCGCTCGCAAATAGCGGAAGCCTCAGCCGCCAGAGAGCAGTGGGGGAGGAGAAGAAATCCTGTAACTCCTACGCGCGAGGAGGAGCGCTAATTCGAGCAAGGGAAAATTCTCGCTCGCAAATAGCGAAAGCCTCAGTCGCCAGAGAGCCGTGGGGGAGGAGAAGAAATCCCGTAACTTCTGCCCGCGAGGGGCGCTAATTCGAGCAGGAAAAATTTCCCGCTCGCAAATAGCGAAAGCCTCAGCTGCCAGAGAGCTAGAGGGAGAAAGAAAGAGAAGTTGCAAGTTTCCTAAAGGCCTAAGGGGCCTATTTATAGGTTTTGGAGAGAATAGGGGGGATTTATGACCATTTTCGAATTTCCCTATTTTTCTAAGTTTTTTCTGAATTTTTTGGACCAAAATATAGCCAAAACTGCTATTTTCGTGCATGTGGGGCCCATAAAGTCGGTGGGCCGAACCGACATATCTCTCTCCTCAAAACTACGTGGACAATGCACAGATCCGCATGCATTTCACGCAGATCGCGGCCAGCCAAAGGCTGGCCACCGGCAGCAGCCCCCACGGCTGCAGCGGCGGCACGCCGCGAGCGGTCCACGGAGCGTACTATGGAGGAGGACTGCGGAGCGGTCTGCGCAGGAGGACCGCGGAGGCATCCCGCGCGAGCACGGAACAGCGGCCGTCGCCACTCCCGCGCAGAACCGCGACCGCTCACGCGGTCCG